ACTATGTACCGAATACGCCTTGAAACACGGAAAAAGGTCCTTTACCCTACTATATATCAAATACGCCTTGTAGCGTGGAAAACGGTCCTTTCCTTTACTATAAACCCAATACACCTGGAAACATATATACCCTATTTATGTCAACGGTAACGACCCCACCAGTTCCCGGAACGAGATTTTTGTCCAACGACCGGGCTGACAATGCACATGTAGGAAAAGCTTCACGAGTAAGCGTCAGCTCATAGATACTCTGAAGTTAATGAGTCGTCAGGGAACGACGGGCAGGGTGAACCCCACTCCCCCGAAGAGGCCCAAGACGTCTATCACGAAGGCGCACGTTTGCTATTTCCCACAAAGTGCGGACAAAGATCAAGTTTTCACACGCTAGCGATAGGGTGTCGTGGTGCAAGCTGAAGGTACATTTTGTGAACAAATTATTGTGAAGTTAAGGAAACGTCCTTTGGTGACAAGCTTATTCGGTCTGGTGACATAATTTACAGGCACTGTGCCTGCGAGTTCGAGACAGTTGAGATGACGCAGCCGGGCGTCACGCAAGTAAAAAAGCAGGAGGCAGAGAGACATTAAAACAAGCAAAGCATAGAAGAACCTACTTAGAAAACGGTTCAAAGCCGTTACAGGCAGCGAACGGGAGGTACTGTACGAGGTCTGGTTGACCTGAAGGCAAGACACAGTGCCCTCTGTCACGCTGAGCGTTTCTTTAGGAACAGAAAGTGGACCTAAAGGGAGCGAGAGAAGTTCTTTGGGGACCCGTTCGAGTTTGCCTGAGGCTTGTTCGATGAACCAAAACCTGGAATTCTGGTAGTCGGTAAAGAGGAATTGAAGTCACATCTACTGAAGATGTACTCCGACCGGACAAGGTATACACCTCTTGATGACAACCCAGAGATCACCACTGGCCTGAGTTGCCGAAGGTACCGTTTAAAACGATAGCTCCATCTTGGTCAGAGGTCGAGAAAGTAGTTGTGAAGAGAGCCAGCGGCAAATCTGCCCAGGAGCCCCACAGTGTGCTGAAGATGCTCGCCTACGAAATGGAAGGTCGAAGCTTCGGTTCCTGACGAATTTAACTTTGTTTTCAAAAATGACCGTGGCTCCCAAGTTGACCAAATCGTAAATGGATACAAGGTAATTGCTGAAAAGTAACAGTGGCCGGCTTGATTTGGGGCACATCAACCACCAAGTGTCTATTGGTCTGTATCATTTAGGTCTAGCCCTGTATGCCTATTTCGCTTGAAAGGCGTGGAGAGGGTCCTTGTTACTATCCTGCTGGTCAACTGCTGCCTCTTTCTGCAGGAAAAACAAAATCTGCCCTTACTGGAATTATTCGTTAAAAAAGGATGCTATTTATATAAACGCGTTTTTTTTTAACTGATCGTGAAAAATGTCAGAATTCTTCTTCTTTTTTTTAATCTGTAGTATTGTGAGAACTGTTCTTCAACATTTAATTTCGAAGAAGGAAAACACAAGAATTTTACAGAAGATCTTTTTGAAATGTTTTTGGCATAATGCTAACCGACACATACAATACACTGCAAGGTGGTTAAGGGGTGGGGTGGGTTTGAGAAATCGGGGGGGGGGGGGGGCTCATGAACGAAGCCGTGTTGATTTCGATGTCTTCCTCCTGCCTACGGGCCAGACATTTGCCTCTCTGCCTGATGAATGATGATAACGATGATGATTGTGACAAATATGGTGACTTAATTATTAGCTAGCACTCCCAGTAAGTGGTTAGGGCCGCACTCTCTAAACTGAACAAGGGCGTTACCAATCGCAGCTTAGGGACCAGTTTAATCGAAATAAAACGTATTTTATGTTGAGCGAAGGCAAAACATGTTGCTTCCGGCCCATTGTCAAAAGTGTGGCGTGTCGTGTTGGGAGATGTGCGTCTGCCGACAAAAAAAAAAAAAGATGATCCGTAAATGGAAGTGAGACATCAGCGCTTGATTTGTCTGTTTGTCCGTGTCTTTCTGTCTGTATGTCTGCCTTTCTCTAATTCTGTCTGTATTTATGTCCTTCTGTTTGTCTATCTTTCTTCTTCTTCCCTCCCTCTTTTTCTATGACTGTTATTTTTATGATTGCCTGTTTTTTATCTCGTTTCTTCACTATTTTAAACTCTTTTTTAACTTGTACACTCTCTTTTTCCTTCTCTCTCTCTCTCTCTCTCTCTCTCTCTCTCTCTCTGTCTCTGTCATTGACCAACTGATTGACTCATTCGCTCACTCTTGATTCATTCTGTCTCTCTATCTTTTTAACTCGTGTTTTTCTCTCTGTTGCCTAGTAAGCATGTCGTAAAAGACAACTAATTATGGGTGTTGCCTTCAAATTCAGTGTGCGTCTGTCTGAGAGGAAGGGAGCTAACAGCATGCACACAAATAAGCCAGATCTGTATAGCACAGGCTCAAGTAAACTCAAGTTCTGGAACCTGACCAAAGTCTAGAAGTGCATGAACAACCAAAAGTTTTCACCGGAATTCCAAACCGGTGAGCGATACGAAGAGAAGAAGAATAATTCTCAACGAACTGGAGACGGAGTCAAAGGTTATGCACTAAAATGGAAAACAAAGTGCAAGAACGCCTGAAAGAGGTTAGAGCAGTGGTTCTCAGGTTTCCTTACGCCGCGACCCTTTAATACTGTTCTTCGTATTGTGGCGATTGTGGCGACCCTTTAATACTGTTCTTCGTATTGTGGCGATTGTGGCGACCCTTCACGCCCCGCCCCCACCATACAATTATTTTCGTTGCTACTTCGTAACAATGCATATGTGTTTTGAGAATGTCTTTGGCGACCACTGTGAAAGGGTGGTTCGATCCAAATTGGGTCGCGACCCACAGGTTAAGTACAGATGGGCTAGAGGAACCCGACTGGATTTCATATATAACGTGGGAGATGAGGGGGAAAGAAGGGGGGAAATTGCACAGTATGGATTGCGAACCTTATGTGATGTTTAAGGTAGGTAGGTAAGTTGCACCCCACCAGGACATCACGCAAGCAACAAAAACAAAACACCCGGTGACACAAAGTGCCACTATACGGATGAAGATAACCCTTGGCGAGGTCATGGAAACCCCGTTCAGCCTTCATGCTATATTTCAGGCCCGGCTATATTTAGGGCCCCAGGCAAAGGCCATGGTTAGACTTCAAAATAACTAAACATTGCATCCCACACGGGGGGTGACGATTAGCCAGCTAATCATGTGACGTATAACTTTACTGCAAGATAAGATTTTGATGGCAATATCGACAAACGTATCTGCCCTAATAGATTTATAAACTATCAAGTTTTGTCAGATATCTATCTGCCTTAATTAATAAACTATCAAGTTTTGTCAGATATCTATCTGCCTTAATTAATAAACTATCAAGTTTTGTCAGATATCTATCTGCCTTAATAGATTAATAAACTATCGAGTTTTGTCATATATCTAAACTACCCACTATAGATTAATAAACTATCGAGTTTTGTCAGATATCTAAACTACCCACTATTGTCGGATTAAGGAGATACTGTTACTGTAGTATTCATAAATTACCTGCTATTGTACGCTTCATGACTACCTGTTATAGTCAGATTTAAAAAAGACCCATTGTCCAATTCATGACTACCTGCCATAGTCAGATTCATAAAATACCTACTGTTGTACGATTCATGACTACCTGCCATAGTCAGATTCATAAAATACCTGCTGTTGTACGATTCATGACTACCTGCCATAGTCAGATTTATAAAATACCTGTTATTGTAGGATTCATGACTACATGCTTTAGTCAGATTCATAAAATACCTGCTGTTGTACGATTCATGACTACCTGCTATAAGTCAGATTCATAAAATACCTGCTGTTGTAGGATTCATGACTACATGCTATAGTCAGATTAATAAAATACCTGCTGTTGAAGGATTCATGACTACGTGCTATAGTCAGATTAATAAAATACCGGCTGTTGTAGTATTCATGACTACATGCTATAGTCAGATTCATAAAATACCTGCTGTTGAAGGATTCATGACTACGTGCTTAGTCAGATTAATAAAATACCGGCTGTTGTAGTATTCATGACTGCCTGTTATAGTCAGATTCATAAAATACCTGCTGTTATCGGATTAAAAACCACCTACTATTGTAAGATTTATTAAATACCTGTCAATGTTGGATTTATAAAATACCTCATGTTGTTCGTATTTCGTAAACTATATGCTATTGTCAGATTCATAAAATGCCTGTTATTGTCTGATTTATAAACTGCTTGCTTTTGGGGGATTCATAAATTACCTACCAGTTCCATATGCATAAACTACATGCAAACGTTGGATTCCTAATATACTCGCAGTTATCAAATACAAGTTATTGTATTAATAATAAACGTTTTATTAAACTAGGATCTGTAAAATTTAAGTTAAAACAAACCCCGACAATTAGAAATGGCAAGCCCAGCCCAGGTAAAATTGTATCTAACGTATAAAGCAAAGAACCCTTTCCCACGGCTTCAGACGTACTGGGCATATAGGGCTAGAACTATATTTATTAGACCAATAGGCATTGGGTGATTGATGTGGTCAGCATCACGCTGGCCGGTTTGACTTTCCAGGACTGTACCTAGTAACTACTCAAGGTTAGGTCACCTGACAGCAGAGGACATTTTTTCTTTTATAAAGTCTGGCTTCGTCAGGCCCGAACCCCGACATTTTGATCCGCAGGTGAGCTTCTAGCCGTTATACCACGGTAGCCGTGAGTAGGGTGAGGGTATCAAGAGACCATGTCATTTTTAAATCAATATAATTTTTGCTCTTGGAAATGCTTTTTAAAAATAAAGTTTGTTAATTTGTACAGTTTTTGTTTTTTCACAGCTTACTTTAAAAAGATACATTAAATAAAAGGTCAAACAGCGAAAATATATTATTTTTCGTGTAATCACTAAATGTCATGTTAATTGCAAATTTGATATTCTCACTAACAATTTCCGTTTCCTGTTTTTGAATTCAGGAACGTGTCATATTGAGCTAGCTACAAGACTGCCCCGTTCGGGAACCGGATATGTGTTTTGTTATGTGACCTTGGGAGAGCTCCTGGCCTTTGTGATTGGTTGGAGTGTCATGTTCGAGAATGTCCTAAATGGCGCAGTGGCGGCAAAGGCTATTTGGCAATATGTAGAGTATATGTATAATTATACTGCGGACAGGTAACATAGTGATGTTAGCACTGTCGTGTTTGTATTGAGTGACCTTTATACTGTTCTAATAGTTTTGAAGGGACAGAATGGCGGATGCACGAATAGATAAATGAGGGACTGAATGAGAGATATAGATAAAACAGAGATGCACGTGAGGGGGGGGGGAAGAAAAGGAGAACAGAAGGTGTGGGTGAGAGGGACACAAAGAGCTAATGAAGATAGGAATGGTACGTGCGAGAGAGAGAAAATCACAAGTATAAAAGAAACAGAAAAGTCGTCTGAGAGAGGAGGCGAGATAGAAGCACAACAGAGAGGCTATGAGAGATTGAGAGATAGCGATACTGAAACAGAGATATAGAAGAAACAGACGGGGCATGATGGATGGAAAGGGTGGAGAGAAAGAGAGATAGACCCAACTAAGAGGCCGAGAGAGAGAGAGAGAGAGAGAGAGAGAGAGAGAGGGAGAGAGAGAGAGAGAGAGAGGGGGATGAGAGAGAGAAAAAACGAACTTTATTTCAAATAGAGACAGAAGGTCTATTCATTTTTCTAGCAAAATTGGAGCCCCGGAACCCATACAGGATACAATTTATAGTTAAGCATAATTATACTAGCAGGTTCTATAGTCCGGCTGTACTTGGCTTGCTTTTCCACGAAAACAAAAAGCGAAATTTTCAACCTTATCCCCAAAGGAGGAACTTTAGGTTATAATTGTGACTAGGTTTGTGTGCGCCATATAAAATGGACTCTTGTAGTGTTGACAACATCAAAAGAGACAGACCCAAATACTGATTCGACTAGCGACAACGTCGTCTACCGGCCAGCCTGATATAAATATTTAAATATTCTAGGTAACGGTATACGAGGTGTGAGTTCAGTTACCTTCCACACTTTAGATGCCTGGAGCTAGCAGCCAGACGCTAGCCTGCGGATCAGAAGGTCGTGGTCCCGAAGAGGCTGGACTTTTTTCAAAAATTTCCTTGGCTCCAATTTCGACACGCCTTGAATGGTACCATGTACAGTCCTGTGAAGTAAAGGCGGTCGGCATTATGCTCACCACATCACCCACCAAGTGCCGTTTAGTCTATATAATATGGTTTGGCCCCATATACCTAATACTCCTGAAAGCGTCGAAACGGGTCCTGTACTTAAGTTATGTGTCTCAACAGTCAAACCTGGTTAACACACATTCCAAATGGCGGATAAACAAAAAGTTCGTGTTAAAAAAATAGCGCTAACCAGTGACTAGTAATACGTTTGATGATATCGCTCTCATCTCGGTCATCCTAAAAGAAACTCGGTTTCTCAGCAGCTGTCCCACCTCGTGCGCTTTCCAAGTCAAGGTGTCTCTTATATCATGTAGCCATCTTGGTGCCGGTCGGTCTCTACCCCAGTTTCCTGGTGCCGGTCGGTCTCTACCCCAGTCTCCTGGTACCGGTCGGTCTCTACCCCAGTTTCCTGGTACCGGTCGGTCTCGACCCCTGTTTCCTGGTACCATGTTTTCTGCTATTGTTTTCAATTTCGCCCTGGAGCTTGATATTCGCTGTTGCCCTCGACGATAAATGTCTTGGGATAGCGATGTGGTGGTTACAATCAGACTGTCCTGGGAGTGAGGGGAATACCTTCAACGAAGGAAGTGAATCCGAATAACTATCTCAGCGGGAAAAGGGGGGGGGGGGACAACTAACCGGTATGTCACAATGGCTTCACATCGGTCGCCTCAACTCAGAAACAAGCATATCAGACTGATAGAAGTTATATTCACAATCCACTGTTTTCTTGCCCTGCAAGTCAATGACCTGTCTTTCTTTATTTCAGCAATTCTACTGAAAGTACGGAAACACACGAGGTTCACATATTCTCTTCAAGCCCGGATTTTTTCTCTTGTTGTTTGGTTATTGCAGTGATCTTCTTTACTTTCATCAAAGTAAAGGTAATCCTGTTTTTCTTTGGTCACTGGCCTCATCAGTCATCAATCATCTGCATCCATCATCATTGGAGACGGGTGATGTCTGCAGCAATAAACGAAAGTAAAGGACTCGAACTATCGGTCTGTTATGAGACGAATAGATGCCAGAATGTCTAGTAATGAATATATCTCAAGAGTTTGCACGGTCTGCTTTAGAAATCAAGATATACTCGTGAGCGTCAGTGTCGGTTTGTACAAATTTAACGTCTAACTATGATACTTAGAGAATAAATCCACGGCCCTTACAATCATGTATTAAAACATGTAACATGTAAGACATTTGACATGTAGCAGAGACGGGGATAAAGGAAAAAAAACAAAAACAGAAAGTTACTACGAGAGAAAGTCTACCACAGTATCCACTATCCAGCGTCGATGTGGCCAGAAAAAGAGAAAATTTGACACTTGTATCTTCCTCGACATCTGAAGTAACAAAGGATATGAACAAACAAAAGTGAAAGAGGTGGAGACGTAGCAGTTGCAAAAGAAGAAGTATTAGAAAAAGTAGTAGTAGCAGCAGCAGCAGCAGCAGTAATATTAGTAACAGCAGCAGTAGTATGGTAGTGGTAGTTGTATTAGTAGTAGTAGCAGCAGCAGATGCAGCAACAGCAACAGCAGCAGCAGCAATAGTAGTAGTAGTAGCAGCAACAGCAGCAGCAGTAGTAGTAGTGTTGGTAGTAGTAGTAGTTGTTGTTGTTCTTGTTCTTGTTGTTCTTGCTGTTGTCGTAGAAGTAGTAGAAGAAGTGGTGATGATTGTAGAAGTAGTAATACGGGTGGCAGTGATGTTCGTAGTTGTAGAGGAGAAAGAGAAGATGGTGGTGATTAAGGTGGTGGTAGAGGAGGTAAGGAAGGAGTAGGACGAGGAGGAAGATGAAAAGAAAAAGTAAACAAAAGAATAAATTATCTTCAAACATTTTTAATGGCTCACAAATACTTCAGCTGCCAAAGCACTCGGTAACACATTGTATCCACATCTTTTGGCTCCTAACAAAAATTCCATTGCTAAACATAAACAAGTTTATATTTACGTCACGTAATAAACGTCATGGGGCATTGCCTTTTTATTTATTTATATAAAATTATGTTTCCCCAAACGCTAACATGAACCCCTCTTGGCTTATTTACAGAGATACGCCGCTGTCAACTTTATTCTGATGTGCTTCAGTGGCCTGGTCGTTCTGGCTTTCATCTGTGTCGGATTTTTTCACGTGGACGCCAAAAACTGGAACTCTCCGCCGGGGTTTTTTGCTCGCGGTTTTGGAGGGGTAATACTGTTTGTGTGTGTGTGTGTGAGAGAGAGAGAGAGAATGAGAGAGAGAGAGAGTTAGAGAGAGTTAGAGAGATAGGAGGGAGAGTACTGTGTAGGAAAGTGGGTGCTGTGTATGTGCTCCTGTGTGTTTTATATAAATGAGAGAAGTGAGATGTATGAAATGGCTGATGTGTGAAATGACTGATTTGTGAAGTAACTGATTGATGTGCGATGTGGCTGATGTGCGATGTGGCTGATCTGTGAAATAGTTATGTGAAGTGGCTGATGTGTAAAGTGGCTGATGTGTGGAATGACTGATGTGTAAAGCAACTGATGTGTGTAGTGGCTGATGTGTGGAATGACTGATGCGTAAAGCAACTGATGTGGGAAGTGGCTGATGTGCGAAGTGGCTAATGTATGAAGTGGCTGATGTGTTATGTGGCTGATGTGTGAAGTGGCTGATGTGTGAAGTGGCTGACGAGCCAAGTGAATGACATGCGAAGTGGCTAATGTGTGAAGTGTCTGATGTGTTATGTGGCTGATGTGTGAAGTGGCTGATGTGTGAAGTGGCTGATGAGTGACGGACATGCGAAGCATGTGGATTATACAGAATGTGAAATGTGTAGGGATGCCTCCGGTATAATTAGATGTGGGTTTTTGATCTGATGATGTTTGATGGTTTGATCAGTGATTTGATGTTAGAACATAGTAGTAATGGAGGTAACAATAGTTGTAAATAGTGCTACTACTAGTAGTAGAAGCATCAGCAGCCGTGCAGCAGCAACAGCAACCATGCAGTAGCAACGCAGCAGCTGGACGATAAACTTTGTGTAAGGGATAGCAGTAGTGAAATTAATGTAGAGTTGATGGTAATAGTGATACTAACTGGAGTAGTTCTTTTCGAGGCAAAAACACACGCGGCAGCGGTGGTGATGTGTGGTAGTAATTGTTAGATTCTTTAATAATATCTTACCCCCAGATGACGTCACAGTACAGTCCAACATTTTAGAGGGTGGTAGGACTGGGTTTCCCGGCTTTCTGATGATTTTAACGACTTCGAAACTTCTAGAACTAGCCCTAACCCAACCCACCTACGTCCCACTATTGAGTGCAGCCTAAATCTCACGAATAAATTCAGCCTAGGTCCCACGACTGCATGCAGCCTAACTACCACCCCCTAGGAAATATTAGACTGCCCCGTGACCTGTGGATTTCCCCTGTTTGGTGTAGGATACTAATAAAGCACCATTTGTTAGTACTGTATTTATTGTAATAACCCTTTAAGTGACATTACATTATTGCATCCCCTACAGATAATGTCCGGAGCTGCACTGCTTATGTCAACATTTGTCAACATCGACAATTTGGCCTCTTGTGCCGAAGAAACCAGATCACCCTGCAAGTCGCTCCCAACCGCTTTCCACTTCAGCTTGTCTATCGTCTTTACAATACTCTTCTTTGTGACTTCCGCTTTGACGTTAGCATCACCATGGCAACAACTAACAGACAACGCCGCCTTAGCTAGAGCTTACGAGACCAAAGGGATCTTCGCGGCAAATTATGTCATAGGATCTGGCGCTGTAATAGGTTTACTTCCGGTCCTGATTGGATCTTTTCTACATCCGGTTCGGGTCATGTATTCCATGTCAGGAGACAGACTTCTGCCGAAGATCTTCTCCAAAATCGCCTACAATGGAATTCCAGTTTTGCCACACTTCATCACCGGGTTCTTCATTGGCACTTTCGCTCTTTTTCTTGAATTTTCGACGATGCTGGAGATGTCTTCAATAGCTACAATCCTGCAGTTTATAATTAGTTCCGTGATACTGCTTCTCATTCGATATCAACCACTTCCAATTGGCATCTGCCGGGAGTACTCAGACCTTGATATTCCTTCAGCATACGAGGATGTTTTGGATTGCAAAGACGTTGGCGATTTCAATGAAAGCCGCCCTAAGCTTGTCCTGTTGGCCAATGGAGATCATAAAATTCACAGAGACGATGGATCTGTATATGCATCAATACCAGACACGCCAGTGTCTTCAAAAACAATGACCGCTGTATCCATGACGGACGCTGGAATCAAGTCCTACAACTCAAGAGCATCACTGACGTCCCTTTCTAACGTAACGCTCAGATCACACTGCCCATCTACCGAAGATATAACTGACGGATCCTTTAAATATTCGTCAACGTCAACTATGTCTTTTATCAACCGGTTTAAGAAGCTAAAACCGCCGATAACGGTGAATACATACTCTGAAAAGGACAGCTTACGTTCTGGTGCTGCTGAATCTGCTACTGCCAAAGAAGGAGGGTATGGTGTTTTAAATGATGAATTTGCAGGAAGGGATGTGTCTTACAAGCAGATCGCTGACAAATCGCAATCAAATCTAACATTAAACGGTGCCAAACGGTCAATTCACTCCAGCGTAAGCAGCAGCCTTGTAGCTTTATCCCCTTGCGCCATGGCATCAGCAGATAATCAGACATGGAAGCATACGAGATACTTCCTTCTTGTATACATTCTCTCCAGCACCTGTTTAACGGCCACCTGCCAAGCGTGGCTCAGCGAACCCCTTGGTGCCTGGTGGGCAGTGACTTTGCTATGTGTCAGCATTGTTCTGATGTTGGTGTCTACGCTATGCATCGCTCGTCAGCCACAGAACAATACACCGTTATACTTCAAAGCTCCGTATGTGCCGCTTGTGCCTCTCCTTGCAGTGTGTCTCAATATGCTTCTACTGGCTTCTCTTCCGTTAATTAGCTGGATTAGATTTGCAGTTTGGATTCTTCCAGGTAAGATGTTTTATTCTTTTTCTAATGCAGCTTCTGCCTTTCTTCTGTTACTTCCTTTGCCTCTGTCTCTTTTTCTGCCTCTTCTTCTGTCTGTTTGCCTATCTCTGTCTCTTCAACATTTTCCTCAAACATTTTTTTTTAAATTGTGTTACTTTAACCTGTTTTTCTGCCATTTATTCTACCTCTGTCTCTACTTTTTTTTTTTTTTTTTCTACTTTTTAAACTGTATCTTTCTCTACCTCAAGCTCTTCTTTAACCACTTTCTTAACCATTTTTTTTGTTTACTTCTGTCTGTTTTTCTTTCATTTCTTCTACCCCTTTCTCTACTTCTACATCTGTCACTTCTGCCATTGTCTCTACTTCTACATGTCTCTTCTTACCGCTGTCTTTACTTCTACTTCTGTCTCTTCTTACCGCTGTCTTTACTTCTACTTCTGTCTCTTCTACCGCTGTCTCTATTTCCACTTTTGTCTATACTTCTACCTCTGTCTCTACTTCTACCTCTGTTCCTTCTTCTACCTCTATCTTTTCTTCTTCTTCTTCTACCACGTCTATCTCTGCTTCTGTCATTTATTATACCTCTGAGTTAATTCTGTTTCTGCGTTTTTTTGTTTTTTTTTGACTGTTTTCCTGCCTTTTCCTCTGCATCTGTCTCTATTTTCGTTTCTTCTTCCGCCTTTCATCTTGCCTGATGTTCCACTACCTCTTTTTCGGCATTTGCTACTGCTACTTTTTAGTCTCTCCCTCTCACTCCACTATCTCTATTTTTTCCCCCTTTTCTTTACCCCTAAATAATCACATGCCCTCAACTAACTTGCAGCATGTGTTATGGAACCTAGGTGTTCAGTGTGTGACGTTTTCAGTTTCGCAAATGATTTATCATGACTAAAATCGGGTCGGTAAGCAAATAAGCTCGGGAATTTATGATTTAACCTAAGAGAGGCGAGAAAAGACCAGCATGTATACTCAGTCTGTGAAAGCGTGGAACGTAAGACCAGCATGTATACTCAGTCTGTGAAAGCGTGGAACGTAAGACCAGCATATATACCCTGTCTGTGAAAGCGTGGAACGTAAGACCAGCATATATACCCAGTCTGTGAAAGCGTGGAACGTAAGACCAGCATGTATACTCAGTCTGTGAAAGCGTGGAACGTAAGACCAGCATATATACCCTGTCTGTGAAAGCGTGAAACGTAAGACCAGCATATATACTCAGTCTGTGAAAGCGTGGAACGTAAGACCAGCATATATACCCTGTCTGTGAAAGCGTGGAACGTAAGACCAGCATGTATACTCAGTCTGTGAAAGCGTGGAACGTAAGACCAGCATATATACCCAGTCTGTGAAATAACCTACGCTCGTTAATCTGTACGTTCATTAGATCGTTCATATATTTTACCTCTATTCCTAAAGATAAAACAAAAAACAGAAGCTAAGGCGATCTTAGATGTGAGGCAAAGAAGTTTGTGCTTTTTTGCAACGCAGCAACAGAACAACGTAACAACATAACAAAGTAACAAGAGAACAACGTAACAAGAAAACAACGTAACAAGAGAACAACGTAACAAGAGAACAATGTAACAACAGAACAACGCAGCAACAGAACAACGTAACAACAGAACAACGTAACAACAGAACGACGTAACAACAGTACAACACAGCAACAGAACAACGTAACAACAGAACAACGCAGCAACAGAACAACGTAACAAGAGAACAACGAAACAAGAGAACAATGTAACAACAGAACAACGCAGCAACAGAACAACGTAACAACAGAACAACGTAACAACAGAACAACGCAGCAACAGAACAACGTAACAACAGAATACAACTTGCAGATAAGAATTGTACATAATATTCTCAGATACAACAGAAGTCAAAATTTATTGAACAGATGGGCACAACTAGAAAAGAGCCGAAGTTTTCAATGAAATGCCAAACGCTAAAGCTAATGGCAAAATCAATAGGCTGGGCTGAAAAGAAAACAATTTCAAGTTTCGAACTGGATAAGCTAGAAATAATGGTCATTTAAACTGTATCAGTTTTCCATATGCACGGCTGTACAACGATTGTTTCAAGCCTTATGAATAAACATGCCACTTTCTTTTCATTGACCTCATATTTTAGAATGACACGGGAAAGCAGATACATCGGTCTCCAACAGTTAAAATCTCATTATGTGCGTCCCTAGTACGGACGAAGAGTTGTTGCATTTTGATGATGTTAGCATTAGATTGACAAGAAAATGCAAATCAGTAGCGCTGGGATAGATGTGTGGTTGACTGTTTGGTGTCTGGATAGTTATTTGGTTAGTGGGGTGGGATAGGGGGCATAGGGATCGTCGCCGATACTACAGAGTTTGTGCTTGTGCGACTCTATCGGCAGGCCCACAAGCCATTCTGCAGAGATAGACAAACCATATGGGATCAAACGTGGAGAAGTGAAGTCTATCCTGTCGACTTTAACTTTGTTAGTTTTTGCATGCGCTCGCTGGTTGACAGGTTAGCTGACTGTGTGGTTGGTTGACAGGTTAGCTGACAGTGTGGTCGGTTGACAGGTTAGCTGACTGTGTGGCTGGTTGACAGGTTAACTGACTGTGTGGTTGGTTGACAGGTTAGCTGACTGTGTGGCTGGTTGACAGGTTAGCTGACTGTGTGGTTGGTTGACAGGTTAGCTGACTAGTTGATTTTGTGGTTGGTTGAATTGTTAGTTTGTTGCCTGTTGGTTGTCTGTTGGTTGTTTGGTTGGTTTCCTGTTGGTTGTCTGTTGATTGTTTGTCGTTTGGTTGGTTGCCTATTGGTTGCCTGATAGTTGTTTGTTTGGTTGCATGTTGGTTTATTTGGTTTTTTGCCTGTTAGTCGCCTGTTGGTTGTTTGGTTGATTGCTTGTTGGTTATTCAGTTGATTGCCTGTTGGTTTTTTGGTTGGTTGCCTGTTGGTTATTTGGTTGCTTGTTGGTTATGGGGCTAATAGTCTGATGTCTTTTTTATAAGGGAGGAAAGGGGGGGGGGGTGGACAGGTTGGTTGACTGACTGGGTAGCTGATTGTTTGATTGATTGTGTGTTTGGTTTGTTGGTTGTTTGGAGGACTGTGCGGTGGGCTGTTAGGTTGGTGGTGACATTGGCCGTTTGGTTATTATCAAGGTTGACTGGTAGACGGTGTGGCTGCCTTAATGAAGTTTTGTTTGGTTAGTCGTGTGGTTGGCTGGGTGGTTATTTGGTCTATTCTCTGCCTGACTGTTAGCTTTGCTTGCTTGTTTAATTAGTTGATTTACTCTTTGTCTAATTGGCTGTTTAGTTATTTTATTGCTTCGTTGCTTGTTGTCTTGATTTTTTTTTTTTTTTGTAATTGGGTGGCTGACTCTTGGATTGTTCTGTTATTTAGTGGTCTGGTTAGCAATGCACTGATCAAGGGAAGCGTTTTGACTCGCACTCTGAAGGTCGTGGTTTCGTTTCACAGACGGGTCGTTCAGTTCATGGGTGCAATTCTAAACAGAGATCACTTAGGATCGTCGCTGGAGCTAAGGAATTCGTTCTTTATGTGACGCTATCAAATAGCGACTTGCTAAGCTGCAAACAGAGACCAAGTTACATGGTATAACACAGGGAAATAAAGTCGGTTTTCATGACTTTAACTGTAATCGCCTGATTGATTGTTTAGTTAACTAATTGAATGATTATTTGGTTGAATGATTGATTGATTGGCCTACGTCGGGTTGTTCGAATTGCTGGTTAATTCCTTAGCTCAATAACTGTTTGGTTGCCTCGATGGCTGGTTGTATTGTTTGGTTGATTAATCTGTCCCTTGATTAGTTGTCTCACTGAATGATTAGGTCTTCGGTTGTTTGGTTGTCTTTTTCCGCTCACAAAAATTAAACCGTTCAATCACACATCATTACCCTAACCGTATACACTCAGTGTAACTAGATATTTTCTAGTTATTTTCTGCTTTATTTAACGTATTCTTTTCGCATGGGTGCTATTAATTATAACATATAATTATTATATTGCATTGAACATATCATTGGGAGCATTCGTGGTATCGCCACTAGAGTCTGCCTGTAAATCCGAAGGTCGTGGGCTCAAATCCAAACGAAGCCGGACTTCATTTCTCATAAATGATCTTGACTCCCGGGTCGACCCAGCCTTAAATTGGAACCAGGTATATTTCCACTTCTGTCGTTAAATGACGGGGGAAGTAACAGTTTGCTATCCACTACTTGATAGGCAGCAATGTCTTAGTCATTTCGTGTCGATGAAGAAGATCTTAAATATCATCAGTCCATGGTTTCCTATGGCGGTATTTTCATTTAACATCAGATCTGTTCATGTTTAGCGTTGTCACATAGCGCTCGTGTCGCGTGCCTGTTTTATGGATTTCTCCTTAAGAACCCACAGCACTCTGAAATAGAATAATGTTGATGTGTCGGCTCGTATTGGTCTAAAGGGTATCCCGTGACCAATATTCACCCAACCTATTTTAGGAGTAGGGCAAATCAAGTTATGGCACTACATAATATATAATATTCATAGGCGCAACTTGGCTGGACGCCCCCACTGCTACAAAAACATAGCTCCCAGGCTATGATATCGTAATATCACAGCAATGTTAACACAGATTAAGATTAATGGTTACACGTACATTAATGCTAGACAATTTAGACAGTGAAACAGAGACACCCAAGTCAGTAATGAAAACTTTCAAAGGCATGTAATAAATGCAACATGTATATATATATATATATATATATATATATATATATATATATATATATATATATATATATATATATATATATATATATATATATATATATATATATATATATATATATATATATATATATATATATATATATATATATATATATATATATATATATATATATATCATCATCATCATCAAGACAAGCACCGATGTTCCCAGGTGAATGGAATTCAGGAACTAAAGTCTAAAAAGTACTGCCGAATCAGCCAGAGTCAGTCTAAGAGATTATCG